GGTTTTTCAGCCTCCGGCTCACATGTTTTTGTCTCAGCCTCAGGAAGGAGGGCTCCAGAGGAAACTAGTTTATGCAGTAGCCAAATCTCTCACTCACAACTTTAATGTCAGTAGCTCACAAAGTAGAATTTTTGCTCACAAGACTCCGCAGCTTAGAGGGAACATTGTGGGGTGAGGGGGCAGTGTTCCCTCTAAGCGGAGTGAGGGTGAGCCAGCTCGCCGTTTTCTTAGCCTCCACCTCACATGTTTTTGTCTCACCTCAGGAAGGGATGGGGCTCCAGAGGAGACTTAATTTATGGAGTAGCCAAATTGCTCGCTCACAACGTTAATGCCAGGAGCTCACAAAGGAGAATTTTTGCTCACAGGACTCCACGGCGTAGAGGGAACATTGGGGGGCGGGCAGTGTTCCCTCTAAGCGGAGTGAGGGTGAGCCAGCTCGCCGCTTTTGAGCCCTCCGCCTCACACGTTTTTGTCTCAGCTGAGGGAGGGAGTGGCTCCAGAGGAAACTAGTTTATGTAGTAGCCAAATCTCTCACTCAAACTTTAATGCCGGGAGCTCACAAAGTAGGATTTTTGCTCACAAGACTCCGCAGCTTAGAGGGAACATTGTGGGGTGGGGGGGCAGTGTTCCCTCTAAGCGGAGTGGGGGTGAGCCAGCTCGCCGCTTTTGAGCCCTCCACCTCACACGTTTTTGTCTCACCTCAGGGAGGGATGGGGCTCCAAACTTAATTTATGGAGTAGCCAAATCGCTGGCTCACAAAGTAGGATTTTTGCTCACAAGACTCCGCAGCTTAGAGGGAACATTGTGGGGTGGGGGGGCAGTGTTCCCTCTAAGCGGAGTGGGGGTGAGCCAGCTCGCCGCTTTTGAGCCCTCCACCTCACACGTTTTTGTCTCACCTCAGGGAGGGATGGGGCTCCAAACTTAATTTATGGAGTAGCCAAATCGCTGGCTCACAAAGTAGGATTTTTGCTCACAAGGTTCCACAGCTTAGAGGGAACATTGTGGGGTGGGGGGGCAGTGTTCCCTCTAAGCGGAGTGAGTGTGAGCCAGCTCACAGGTTTTTCAGCCTCCGGCTCACACGTTTTTGTCTCAGCTCAGGAAGGGAGGGCTCTAGAGGCAAACTAATCTATGTAATAGCCAAATGGCTTGCTCACCACTTTATTTCCAGGAGCTCACAAAGTAGAATTCTTGCTCACAAGGCGCTCCACGGCTTAGAGGGAACATTGTGTGTGTGTGGGGGGGGGGACGGATGGTGCCAGCCTGTCTCCATGGGCTGCTGTGCGCTGCATCATCATAAGAACATAAGAGATGCCAATGTTGGATCAGGCCAAAGGCCCATCCAGTCCAACACTCTGTGTCACACAGTGGCCAGAAATACCAGGTGCCATTTCAGGAGGTCCACCAGTGGGGCCGGGACACTAGGAGCCCTCACACTGTTGACCCCCCTCCAAGCACCAAGAAGACAGAGCGTCACTTGCCCCAGACTGAGAGCTCCTATCTATACCTTGTGGCTAAGAGCCCCTGATGGACCTCTGCTCCATATAAGAACATAAGAGAAGCCAATGTTGGATCAGGCCAAAGGCCCATCCAGTCCAACACTCTGTGTCACACAGTGGCCAGAAATACCAGGGGCCACCAGGAGGTCCAGCAGTGGGGCCGGGACATTAGAAGCCCTCCCACTGTTGACCCCCCCCAAGCACCAAGATGACAGAGCATCACTTTCCCCAGAGTTCCTATCTATACCTTGTGGCTAAGAGCCACTGAGGGACCTCTGCTCCAGATGCTTATCTAATTCCCTTTTGAAGCCGTCCATGCATCTGTGATCCTCTTGTAGGGTTGGAGCGCTATGTTCAGGTAAAGTAAAGGTAAACGATTTCCCTTGCTGGAAATTCAGTCGAGTCCGACTCTAGGGTTGTGGTGCTCATCTCCGTTTCCAAGCCGAAGAGCCAGCGCTGTCCGAATACGTTTCCATGGTCATGTGGCCAGCATGACTAAACACCAAGGCACACGGAATGCTGTTACCTTCCCACCGAAGCGGTACCTGTTTATCTACTTGCAATGTCTTGCTTTCGAACTGGTAGGTTGGCAGGAGCTGGAACTAGAGACGGGAGCTCACTCCATCATGCGGCACACTCGGGTCTCGAACTGCTGAACTACCGACCTTCCACAGCCTGCAGTTCAGCGTCTTAACCACTTGAGCCACCGAAGCTCCTACTTGTAGATAAAATAAAGGTAAAGGTTCCCTTGCTGGAAAGCCAGTCGAGTCCGACTCTAGGGTTGTGGTGCTCATCTCCGCTTCCAAGCCGAAGAGCCAGCGCTGTCCGAAGACGTTTCCGTGGTCATGTGGTCGGCACGACTAAACGCCGAGGCGCACGGAATGCTGTTACCTTCCCACCGAAGCGGTACCTGTTTATCTACTTGCAATGTCTTGCTTTCGAACTGGTAGGTTGGCAGGAGCTGGAACTAGAGACGGGAGCTCACTCCATCATGCGGCACACTCGGGTCTCGAACTGCTGAACTACCGACCTTCCACAGCCTGCAGTTCAGCGTCTTAACCACTTGAGCCACCGCAGTAGTAGAAGGGCCCAAAGAGCGTGCAATGCAGTGCCACATGTTGCCCCCTTTGCTGCCACCATTTTCTGTACTTACATGTTTGTGCTGGCAACAGCCCGATCTAACTTCTGAGAATAACATTGTGCATGCATCTGACAAAGCAGAATCTAGTCCACAAGACGTTTATGCTATGATAAAGATGTTGGTGTTTGACATGCCTCGAGATTCTGCATTGTGTTTGCTGCGGCCGGCTAACTAAGCTGCCCTCCTGGAGTCAAAAACAAAGACTCTTGTGGAGGCGGTCCCAGGTGGGCCAGCCGTGTTGGTCTGAAGCAGGAGAACACAGAGTCCGGTCAGGCACCTTTAAGACCAACAACGGTTTATTCATGGTATGAGCTTTTGTGCACACTTTGTCAAGTACATTGGAAAGGAAGCTAGATTTCAAACTTGCAGATTTCAAACTTCAGGAAAAACAACACACAAACAAACCCTGTGATACGAATGACATTGAGTAAGAATCATATTGCTTTTTAAACTTTATAAATTTACAAAAATTGTCCAACATTCTCAACTTTACAATATTGCAAAAAAGTCCAACATTCTCAACGAGCACCCGGTTGTAAGCCCATTTCAACGGCAGTCTTCCTCAGGAGCAATGTTCCCTCTAAGCTGTGGAGTCTTGTGAGCAAAAATTCTAGTCTGTGAGCTACTGGCATTAAAGTTGTGAGCAAAAAAGTCCAACATTCTCAACAAGCACCTGGTTATAAGCCCATTTCAACGGCAGTCTTCCTCAGGAGCAATGTTCCCTCTTAAGCTGTGGAGTCTTGTGAGCAAAAATTCTAGTCTGTGAGCTACTGGCATTAAAGTTGTGAGCGAGCGATTTGGCTGCTGCAGAAATTAGTTTGCTCTGGAGCCCCATCCTTCCTGAGCTAAGACAAAAATGTGTGAGCCAGAGGCTAAAAAACTGAGCTAGCTCACACTAACTCAGTTTAGAGGGAACAGTGCTCAGGAGTAATCCTGTATTGTAAGGAGGTGTCAGCTTCTTAATCCAGTTGAATATATTAATAGGAGTAAACTTCCTTCAAAATGTCGTGGAAAAAACCATGGTAAATGAAAAGCAACATGAAGCTGAATGGAATATAATTATTTTAAACTTTTAATTATTTAATCTATAGAACTTACTTCTGGTGCCATTATAAGTGCTTATTCTGGGAGCAAGCCAAGCCTCTCTAGGTGCAAAAAGCCTCCTGGATTCAGTTTGTTGCAGAGAGCATTTGCCAGCCATTTGAAAACTGAAGGCTTCTAGCCGGGGAGAATAATAGGACTGGTTTGCTACTACTATAGTGTTCATGGAGAGCATCACCCACCAAAATTGAGGAGGCTTTTTGCTATTACGTTGCACTATGTTTGTAAATTTATAAAGTTTAAAAAGCAGTATGATTCTTACTAAATGTCATTCATATCACAGGGTTTGTTTGTGTGTTGTTTTTCCTGTTGGATACCTGTGATCCTTTCTTGGTTTGTGATTTCAACATCTATAAGTTTGAATTCTAGCTTCCTTTCCAATGTACTTGACAAAGTGTGCATGCACACAAAAGCTCATACCTTGAATAAACCTTTGTTGGTCTTAAAGGTGCCCTCACTGGACTCTAAATTTGTTCTAAAGAACCTTGTGGTACTGGAAGACCCAGGCATAAGCGTCCATGGACCCGATGTGCCTTCACCCGATGTGCCTTGTCCGTGGCTGACAAAGGAAAAGTGTTGTGGAAAATAATATAAAGAGTAGGGTCAAAATGCCATGGAATGCAAGAAGTTCCATCTGTGGCATCTCTGTGCAAAGATGACCACAGTGATCATTCATAGTGGCAGTATCAAGGGATAACATAATCTTCATAGATGTGCTAAAATAATTTCGCATCTGTAATGTGAAGAAAACTACTGCCCCAACCTGTCCGCATATTTGTGTCTCATTGGGTAACTCTTGAATTTAAACAGTAGGCTAAGTATCTGGGGAAAATACTTGCAGTTAGGGATAAAGCGAATTTACTAGGTTTGAGGTGGCTGTTCTATAATAATAATAATAATAATAATAATAATAATTTCGATTTATTGGTCGCTCTTTCCTACACACCTGTGGGCTCAGAGCGATTTACAGTTACTCTCTGAGAATTGGACTAACAATATTCGTGGGGGATAGGAAAGACAACATACAGCATTTTTAATTACACACACATTGCAGCTAGCCGGGGCTTCATCTGCGGGCTGGACCAGTCGTGTTCCGACGACATGTATTCTTGTCGGCTGGCTGATGACGTCAGGGCTTCTTGATGCCGTGCATGTCGTATTATGGCATATAACAGATTACTTGGGAGAGATTGAATTTGTGACGAGAAACAGAAATAGAAAATACAAAACTTTCAAATTTTTCTGTTGCTAAGGAAGAAGAGATGCTAGGAAGCGAAAAGCCGAGTTCTTATTCTTGTATTCACAATGGGACAAAAGCCAATGATTCTGAATTATTGCTATTGTAGGTGGACTCCTATGGTGAGTGCCTGAACAACCGAGAGCTTCCCAGTATGAGGCTGAGGGATACTTCTACAGCAACCACAGAAGATCCTGAATTCATGGCTTTTATCTCCAACTACAAGTTTCACTTGGCCATGGAGAATGCCATATGCCATGACTATATGACGGAGAAACTTTGGCGGCCGATGCACGTCGGAGCTGTCCCTGTGTATCGAGGCTCGCCGTCCGTACGAGACTGGATGCCCAATAATCATTCCATCATTCTCATTGATGACTTTGGGAGCCCCAAAGAACTAGCAGAATATCTCAACTTCCTGGACAGGAACCCAGATGAGTACAAGAAGTACCTAGAATATAAGAATCCCGGTGGCATTACGAACCAGTTCTTACTGGAGAACCTGGAGAGACGTGAATGGGGAGTGAATGACATGACTCGGCCTAATTACCTGAATGGATTTGAGTGTTTTGTCTGCGAGAGAGAGCATGAGAGACTTGAGGCAGAGAGGGAACACAAGAGGACCGGTGGGAAGGTGCCGCCTCCGGAACCTCACATTGCCCAGTTCACGCACATGGGATGCCCTCCACCAGCACCTGGATATGGGAACATCGAGGACATTCCTGCAGGAGACAGGTACTGGTAGTTACGTGGCATCTCCCATAGTTGTTGGTACATTTTGCAACTATAGCTCATCCCACAGAATATTAAAGTTGTTAAATTTGAAATAGAGAATATTGCCAAAATCTACAAACCTCTGACACAGTCAGTACACAGTACGCAGTACAAACCCAGGGACAGGAAACTTTCCCAGTTGAGTGTTCGGCTAAATAAAGCCATTCCTGGTACAGTTACAAACTGCATCTGTGACTTCTCCCTTAGCCACTGCTTGCAATAGGGGAAATGATAATATTGGCCATCCTCACTTGTTTGTTGTAAGGATTACAGCGTGGTAAAATAAGTGAAGCTCTTTAAATATTCAGAAGTACAAATGCCCAGTGTTACTGCCTCACTGACAGCTTTAGAGTGTTTAGGGGTGTACATTCAGCTAAATCCAAGCCAGAAAATATTCGAAAAATACCTTGTCGGTATTTTCCAGATATTCTTTTAGCCGGATATAGATTTGGCCATTTTTAAGCTATCTGAAATTATGACTGGTTACCGAAAATCCTAAAAATATTCGGTATTTTTCAGGACCACTGGATAGTTGAGGTTAAAGGGTATTTAAAGGGATCACAGTCCCTTTAAGCGCCTTCCAGGTGAACTCGCCGCTTGGAGAAGGTGTTTAAAGGGACTGCAAGCCTTTTAAATGCCTTCCTCCCTCCATTGAAAACACCTTATTTGGGAGCCCATAGAATTGGACCCCTGGTCCAATCTGTTTGAAACTTGCGGGGGGTGGGGGATTGAGGAGAGGCACCGGCAGCTATGCTGCAAATTTGGTGCCTCTACATCAAAGAACAGCCCCCCTGGATACCCCTGGATTGATTCTCCATTATACCCTATGGGGACCATTAACTATAACAATCCCCATAGGGTATAATGGAGCCGGAAAAAATTCAGGAATCCCAAATATTTACCAAATCTGAATACCACACTGGTATTGGGAATCGGGAATATTGGGAAATACCAATATTTTTTGGGTTCAAGATACCAGAACCCAAAAAATACTGTGGTTTGTTTTGGACACCCTTAATAGGATCCTTAAAACGGTGCTGCTTTGAGAGTCCCACCCAAGTCCATAGAAAGAACGTAAGTCTAGTTAGTGTTGGCAAAAGAGTATGAGTTTGAACTGGAAATTTCTGGTTCAAATCTCTGCTGAGAAGGAACAGGATGAAAACACTGGAAGGTGCCATAAAAGTCTGTTTTTATTTTCAGAAAGTAATCCAACGCATTTTTTTTTTGAAGTTTGCTGCTCATTTTCACAGTTGTTTTCGTCTTTGTTTTCGTCTTTGTTTTCCTCTGTTCACAGAGGCTTGTTTTTTCTTCCTGCAGTAAGACACCTTTATATGTTTTCCACTTGCTGCCTCTGTGGGGCACGGCGATCAAATCTTGGTTCTGCCGTCAACTCCCTGGCCAGCCACTTTGCTTCCTGCCCACGGAAGTCTCTGTAGTACAGGGCGACAGTCGAATGGTTTGTCTTACAGGATTGTTCCAAGGATTACTGACATGAAAGGTTTGGAATATTCACGTGGCAAGTTTCTTGCTCGTGAAATACGGACTGTCGGATGGGAGGGGGAGGATCCAGGTGTCCCATCCAGCCTCTGCTCTGTCCTTGTCAGCAGAGGGTGAGCCCTGCAGGGCTGGGGCCATATTTCTCCCAGCGCCTCAGTTGGCTTCCCAAGTGCAGGGCCTTCTCCACTGTCCTCCTGCTTCTGCACATCTTAGCTTTCCAGCCAAACACACATGGCCACACGGGGAGCTGCCTCATACTGAAACCAGGCCGGTGCCTCCACCAAGGCCAGTCGTGTCTACTAGAGATGTAAAATTTCTGGAAATTTTGAAGCTCGGAAACCCGTTTTTTTTCCGGGGGAAAATGGAAATTTTTGGAAAACTTGGGGGGAAAATGCTACATTAGCATTTCTTTTGTCTTTTCTAGTTTGAAAGTCATTTTGTTACTTTAGGAACATAAAATATGACTATGGACATTTTTACTTGGCATGAAATTATCACAACTAGCATATTAAAAATATAGTGTATCCAAACAATTATTACAGAATACCCACACACATGCAAAAACAAAACTGAAGCTTTTTTATTTTCTTCTGACAGTAGCACCTCCTAAAGGAAGAAATGCATCTTGTTCTTGCATTGGAGAGTTCAGTTTGTAACCTAGGACTTTCTTCTCCTCAGTGCACAGAAATTACATCAATCTGATACCATATATATATATTTTAGAAATGATTTGGAAAATATTTGAACACCTGGTCTTAAAATATTTTATTCATCATGTTAAAATAAAACGTTCCATAATCAATTTTTTTTTCTTTTTTCAATTTTTCGGAAAAAACCAAAAAGGCTTCAGGGAAAAAACGGGAGGGAAACGGGTGTTTTTTAAAATTTTTCCGGGTTTTTTCCCGGGCCTTCACATCTCTAGTGTCTACTCAGACCAGCAGGGGCTCTCCAGGGTCTCAAGTGAAGGACTCTCACATCACCCACGGTTGACCCCTTTTAACTGGAGATGCTGCAGGGGATCGAACCTGGGAGCTTCTGCATGCAAAACAGATGCCCTGCTGAGCCCCAGACCCAGGCAGAGGGGCTTCAGGCAACAGCACCTAGGGGCTGCCTCTTCCCAGGGTAACCCCACGGGTTCAGTGGAAGAGGTATGAGGGAATGCCAGGCATCTATGCATGCCAGTAGCTCTGCCTTGGCAAGCGCTAAGCCGTCTTTGCCCTTTCTCTGGCGGGTTGTTCCCAAGGCAGGTCAGAGCTACCGTAGGTGTCCGCCCGTCTTGCTTTTTGTCAGTGACAGCCTGATGCTCTCACAGGCCAAACGTTGGAACAGCCAGCGACAAGCACACCCACCTCCTCCTTGAGCTGCTCTGGTGTTTCTGCTTGTGAGGAGAATGATCAAGCCTGTGCCGTCTGTTCAGTTTGATTTGATTTCCCACTTTTTAATCCTAAGATCCTTAGAGAGCCTTGTGACATTTTTTTTAAAGCTGCAAACAGCCTGCACAAAATGCAGAGCAAGACATCAAATCCACGCGATACCTTTTTGTTAGGACACAATATGTTGTGCAAGCTTCTGGGTTCATCAGAACTCCAGAGCCAGTTTGGTGTCGTGGTTTATTTATTTATTCCTTCAGTTTGTATCCCGCTCACCCCCTTAGGGCTCTGAGCGGTTTACATGTTTCAATTCACACAAATCCTAACCTAGGGCCACATACATATAGGGAAAGTGACAAGCCTACCGGCGGCGTCCTCTCTGGCGCTGGTCTTTTTGAAGTTACACTTTCCGGCTGTTGCGATTCCTTTTCCGGGCCTGGGCCACTCGCGCTTTCGCACATGCTCGCTGCGGACTCTAATCTGGGAGAACCAGGTTCGATTCCCCACTCCTCCACTTGCACCTGGCTGGATGACCTTGGGCAAGCCGTAGTTCAGATAAGAGGTGTCCTTGAAAAAGAGCAGTTCCTGTCAAGAGTTCTCTCAGCCCCACCCACCTCCCAGGGTGTCTGTTGTGGGGAGGGGAAGGGAAAGAAGTTTGTAAGCTGCTCTGAGACTCCCTTGGGTAGTGAAGGGCGGGGTATAAATCCAATCTCCTCCTCCTCCTCCTCCTCCTCCTCCTCCTCCTCTTCTTCTTCTTCTTCTTCTTCTTCTTCTTCTTCTTCTTCTTCTTCTTCTTCTTCTTCTTCTTCTTCTTCTTCTTCTTCTTGTCAAGCAGCTATCACAAGAAATGAAGACAGTCAGGGAGGGCAGCGCCAGGCAGGCGCCCATGCCAGGGGGAGCTGACAGGCACCCAGATCAGTTAAATTGCTGCTGCAGGGGGTGGATTCCAGCCCTCCCATCATGGGAAGGTGACAGTGGAGACGCATCTCATTTGTAACAATGAAGACCTGCGAGATCCAGCATTTGTAAAAGACAGCATTCACTTCTCCTTCCCCTTCCCAGTTCCCCATATAGGGGTCCCCCTCCTGCTCTTTCTAAAACATTGTTCTGACGGCGTCCCTAACAGTTCTCTGCCTTGGGTCGTTTTCATTCGAGAGCTGGCAGCCTGGGATCTCGCCCCTTGAGAAGCTCTCTGCGCTTAACACAACCTGCTTGAAAAGTTTTATCTCATTTATTTTTATTCGTTTATTTATTTTGTATATTCACGCCCCGCTTTTCTCTCCAGTGGTAACCCCTCATGACTGACAATAACCTCCTCGCTTCCTCTGTTCATGGCTTTCCACAGCTTTCAGATGCTACAAACTTTGCTTAATAAACCATTGACATGTTGGTTGAACTTACTCTCCTTCTTCCAGCAATCAGCAACCCAGAGCCCCTGTATAAAAGGTTATATCTACCAAAGCAGCATGATGTTTAATACAACAGCCTACTCATGTAAGCACAAGGGATAAAACCAAAGTGCTAGCTATAACCGCCCCCACCCCAAGGACATCCCTCTTAACTTTTTATGTATCGTTACAATGTCTGGTTTTATTTTTAGTAATTTTTAAAATCTGCATTTAAACCCCTACGTGCTGAAAAGAGTATTGCTTGTCCTTATTTGTGGGCAAGAGTAGTTACATAGTAAGAAGCACCCAGGGGTCATTTCGTAGAAAAAGGGGTGCAGGAGCTCATTAGCATAACTCATTAGCATAACTTATTTGCATATGCCACACCCCCTGACATCACCGGAAGTGTGTCAGAAGGCAACACCCACCGCTCAGGCTCAACTGGACTGTTTTGGATTGCTAGCTATTGGGGGGTGGGGGGGAGCGTGCAGATCTGTCCTCGCAGAGGATGGAGAGCTTGTACCTGAATAAAACCTGGTCTTAAAGGTGCCACTGGACTGTTTTGGACCAGGGGGCCGGGGGGAGCTCTGCAACTTACCTGGCTGCTTCTTGCTATGACTGAGGGCTGCTGGGAGCAGGGGGCGGGGCTTGTTGCATGTTGCCACCCCCTGGGCTCTTTACTGCCGGAGCTCCGCTCCTGTGCGCTCCGGCAGGAAATGACCCCTGGAAGCACCTAACCTGGTGACATCCCAAACAGCGGGTGGCAGCAGAGAGCATTAAAGAAACCGGACTGGCTGTTTCTCAGAATAAAGAGGTTGAATATCAGCCACGCAAATACTTTATCGTCCGTCACCTGCTGCAGCTTTTGCCCCCCATGTCGTCATACCTGCAGGTTGCACTCCGTTCCCACAAATATTTTCTATTTGAATTTGTCTCTGTGGATTGCTGTTGGGGGAGGAGGAGGAGAGACGCTGCTTAAGACCCTTTTACTTTGTTATGGTTTGCGGCAACCATTTTCTTGTCTGTGTTTCAGCTGGAAAGAGATGTGGCTGCAGGATTACTGGCAGAGCTTGGATCAAGGTGAGGCCCTCTCGGCTATGATCCGTCACAACGAGACGCATCAGGGGAGATTTTGGGATTATATGCACAAAGTCTTCTTGAAGAGAACCCGGCAAAATTGACAGTTGCGTACACAGCTTTTTTTCAGTATTACGTGTGGGTCAAGGGGAGGGTTGCCTGTCTGCGCCAGCACCAGCGTTGCTGTCCCTGAAACCGCTCAGGATTCATCCTTGTGCACCTGGAATGCTGCCTGCAAGGACTCCTGTTTTCAAGGCTCCAAGGAGGAGCTGTTTTGGCAGGTGTCACTTGCGGTGGCTTTACAATGAACAAGCCTCTTCTCGTGGCCGAAGAAAAGTGTTGTGTCAGCTGATTCTGGAGGAGCCCGAACAGGATTACTGTTTGTACCAAATTACTTGGAACTGAATCCATTTGGGATTGCCAGGCAGGTCCTACATGGCCGCATTTTAAAGAATTCAGTATTCCTCAATTTTTTTAGTATATTTTTAAAATTACCAGTTGCTGACCACTCCTGCTGCGGTGCTTTTATTTTGCAATGCTACCTCAGATTAGTCAGAGGGGATTCGTATGTTTCCCGTTGGGATGAACTTGTTGAATAACGACTACAGCTCCTCAGTCTTTCCTTGGACTCCCTCCATTCAGTTACCAGACAATTGAAGAACAATTGAAAAGGTCTATTTAAGTATGATTATAACAGTACAGTATAACAGGAGCTGCGGTGGCTCAAGTGGTTAAGACACTGAACTGCAGGCTGTGGAAGGTCAGTAGTTCAGCAGTTCGAGACCCGGGTGCCGCATGATGGAGTGAGCTCCCATCTCTAGTTCCAGCTCCTGCCAGCCTAGCAGTTCGAAAGCAAGACATTGCAAGTAGATAAATAGGTACCACTTCCGGTGGGAAGGTAACAGTGTTCCGTGCGCCTTGGTGTTTAGTCATGCCGGCCACATGACCACGGAAACGTCTTCGGACAGCGCTGGCTCTTCGGCTTTGAAACGGAGATGAGCACCGCAACCCTAGAGTCGGGCTCGACTGGCTTTCGAGCAAGGGAAACCTTTACCTTTATAACAGTACAGTCTGTTAGAGCACAATGTGTTTGTTCTGTTCAGTTTGCGGGTATTCTTCCACCCGGAGAGCTTCCTGATTACTGCTCATATTTGACTGTTCCTCGCTGTAGCTGTGCCTTTAGGTTGCCATGCCTTAACGCCCCGCCATCTAGAGTTTTGCAAGGGAGGTACCTTCAGATTCTGACAGTATGCGACTGTGGTGCTGGTAGTGTAGACACCCTGTGTCATGTGACCTTTGAATGCAATTACTTTTCTGAGTCAAGAAAACTTTTAATTCTTCATTTGACCCAAAATATAGATCGGATGGAGAAGCTACCTCCTTTATTAGAAGATAATAACAAACCTATCACTCTTTTACCTGCAGAATTTTATGCATCCGTGATAGATTTCCGCAGCCATTCCAAATAGGGTCTAGCTTTTTCTAGTATTTTAGTAATCTGCTTAGAACTAATAAGTTAAGAAGCAGTGTGAGATAGAGAGAGAGCTTTTAGTAGGGTGATGCTGATGGCTACCGGAAGTGAATTGGAACAGTAACAGTGAAACCGGTTAGAAGAGCTGAACAACAAGAGTTTGCACTGGTTATGTTCTTTAACTGATTAGGTATCTTTTGCTTTTCCTATTCCCCAATGTGCATTTCTGTTTGCAAAATTCTCTGCTTGGCCTTTCTTCATTTTATAAGCATCATACAAGTCCAGTTTTATGCACTTTGTATGTTAAGAGCTCCTGTAACTATTTTTAATCATGTCAGTTTGTACTTTTCTAGCAATTGGGACTCATTAATTAATCTTTGTATAGGCAGTTGCTCAGTAAGAAGTATCTGCACATTTCTACTGGTCCTGGACATGTTCCGACCATCTGGATTAGTTTTCTGTCCCCAGGAGTAGGGGTCCCCCTGGGCATTGTGGTGCCCATCAGTACCAAGTGTTTCAGGAAGTGTGGGAGGGCCTGGTGGGGCTGTTACTCAGCAGGACATCTGATTTGCTCCAGAAGATCTGATTGGCTATGCAGATTAATATAATTTCAGCAGCAGTTGACACCAAGCTTTGGCTTTATTCTCTCTCACGCCTCTTTCCAATGTACTTTCCCCTCTTCTTCCCTGCACTGGGGTTTCCTCTGTGGATGTGGTTCTGCCTCCTGGGGCAGCCATTTTGTGGTTGGCTCCTCCTCCCATGGCAGCCATTTTGTGTCAGAATTCTGAAGGTGCCCACAAGGCTGAAAGGGGTTGGGGATACCTGCCCTAGATGGTTAAGTAAATGAGGGCAGGGCCAAGATGGGTGTCAGACTCTGGGGCAAGTTACTCTCGACCACACTGTCTTTGGCAGTGAAAGGCTGTAATGAGATACAAACAAGTTCCAGGCATTAACAGTACTGTGTCAGTTCTAATGCTTTTATTTATTTATATTTATTTATACCTTCAGTTTCTACCCTGCTCGAACCCCACCCATGGGTCTCTGAGTGGCTTACATAGTTTGTATTACCCCTATCTATGGGCACATATATATATCGTATTAGGGGCGGGACTACCTAACGGCACTCGGTGGGATTCAGTTGATGTGTCTTCCGCTCGTCTCGGCTTCTGGTGGGTACAATCAAAGATATAGGTAATTCAAATGCAACCCCTCCTAAACTCCATGCATACGTCACATTCACCCCGCCTAGCTCCAATGTCTCTAACCCCTCTTTCACACAGGAAATGTATGGGTCCATTATCTTCTAAGCAAGCTGGCACTAGAAGATTCAAGGATGTTCCTCTGTGAAGCAGAGAAAGGCTCGTCTTCAGGGTTACGCTTCTAAGAGATAGTGCAGCCACACACTCCACACTCACACCCCCTCCTAAGGAATTCCCCTTCCCCCCAGCATCCGTGGCAAACAGGCAAAGCAAGGTTTGACATTCTGCACTCCCCCCAAGCCTAGTTCACCAACCCAGCTTGAGGGGGTGCCGCTTGTGAAAAGCAGGTACCGACTTTGCAGCCTTAACGTGCTTAGATTCCACCCGTTCATTATGAGATGGGTCAAAGTCTTTCCATTTGACTGGGTAGAACAGCTTTCCCCTCTTCAGTTTAGCATCAAGAATGTCCTCCACTTCTTGGTGGTGCTCTCTGTCCACCATCAGGGGAGGAGGATCAGGAGGATGTCGTTGCCACTTCGAGGGTCCACGGTCATCCTTCAGAAGAATGAAACACAGGATGGACGTGGCGCGAGCTTTTAGGCAGTTCCGCTTCCACAGTCACTTTATTAATAAGGCACACTACTTTGAACGGCCCAACATATCTCCGTCCTAGTTTTCTCTCTGGCTGCAAACCCCTGAGGTTCTTTGTGGAAATGTACATGGAATCCCCAGGCTTGAAGTCCCACTTGCCCCCCCCCCCTGTCAGCGTAATATTTGTAGGTCTCCTTTGCTTTGTCCACAAGGGGGACAATACCGTTAAGAGAATGACAGTGTGCGAAAACATCAAAAACTGTTAAATATTTGGGGCTACACCTGTCTTGAGAAAATTATGTGTTGTTTAAAGACAATTACAAAACTGCACGGACAAAACTGCTTATACTCGGAATTAGACTTTGGTGCACGCACGCGAAGCTTCTACCCATATTTACACTTTGGTGCACGCCAATGTTCCCTCTAAGTTGTAGATTCTTGTGAGCAAAAATTCCACTTTGTGAGCTACTGGCATTAAAGCTATGAGCAGTGATCTGACTACTGCATAAATTAGTTTGCTCTGGAGCCATCCTTCCTGAGCTAAGAGAAAAATGCGTGAACCGGAGGCTAAAAAACTGTGAGCTAGCTCACACTAACTCAGCTTAGAGGGAACACTGGTGCACGCACCCAAAAGCTTCTACCCATATTTACACTTTGGTGCATGCACGCAAAAGCTTCTACCCAAATTATACTTTGGTGCGTGCACATGAAAGCTTCCTAAATGCTCAAGGACTGTCTGTTTGATGATTTGTTCTGAAACTTCCCCGGGTATACACGTCCAGCTGACGGGTCAGTAGTTACCCGGCTCCTCCTTTCCCCCCTTCTTGAACATGGGGACACGTTTTGCCCACCTCCCATCTTCAGGCACCTCATCTGTTCTCCCAAGAATTCTCAAACATAATGGACAGAGGCGCAAAAATTACATCCGTCAGTTCTTTTCGCATACCTGGATGCAGTTCATCTGGTCCCGAGGACTAGGTGTTCATGTACGACCCCTGTGCTGATTCCAGGCTGCACCTCACTTCCCTCGTCATGTGCTCCGTTTCTGCCATGCTGAGCACCATTTCCCTCACGCGAGAAGACTGAGGAAAAACAGGAACTGAGCAGTTCTGCCCTCTCTTCCTCACCTGTTGCAATGGTACTTTCCTGTCCCCGCAATGGGCCTACCGTATCCTTGCTCTTTTTCTTTCTTTGAACACAAGAAAAGAACCCTTTTTTGTTGTTTTTAGCATCTCTCGCTAGCCTAAGCTCATACTGAGGTTGAGCTTTCCTAACTTTCTGTCCAGATGCACTAGTTATTCTTTATATTTGTCCTTGGTTATAAGGCCCCCCACCTTCCACCTTCTCAATAAAGAGTCTTTTTTATTCCCCGAATCTTTAGAAAGCTGTTCATGGAGCCAACTTAGGTTCTTTAGGCTCCTCCCGTTTTTCCTTCTCCTAGGAACCGTTTGTGGTTGTGCCTTCAGTATTTTGCTTTTAGGGAACTCCCATCCCTCTTGAACTCCCTTCTCCTGAAGTATTTCTGATCATGGCATTCTACCCAGCATAAAATTAAGTTTGTCAAAATTTGTTTTCCCGAAGTCCAACCTATATGTCTGACCACGTACAGCTTTTCCCTTCCCCAAGACTGTAAATTCCAAAATGACATGGACCCTACTCCCCAGGGTGCCCACTCCTTTCACTTGGTCAACCAGTTCTTCCCTGTTGGTCAGAATCAAGTCCAAGATGGCAGATCCCCTTGTTTCCCTTTCCACTTTCTGGAAAATGAAGTGATCAGCAAGAAAAGTCAGGGATTTATTGGACCTTTCATTTTTAGCAGAGTTGGACTTCCAACAGAGATCCGGGTAACTGAAGTCTCCCATGAC